AAATAGTGATTAAAGAATCTATAAAGAATGAAAATTTTAAATTTGCATAAAATTTTTCCTAAAAAATGATTCATTTTATTTATTTCGAAGTAATTAATTCATTTTGTGGAAATAATTGGACAAAATTTTCAAACGGCTCGAACGATTAAAAATTTCACATTTTTTCAAACGGCTCGAACGATTAAAAATTTCACATTTTTTCAATTTCTTAATTTGCCTTCTATTTTGGTTGATTCCATTGGCTATCACAATAAAGCACCTTTTATCATAGAACGCGAGGAAGTAAAGGTTGATGTCACCAGACATTGCTAGAATTCTCTTTTAATGGCAAGTCTACTCGCATTAAACTAGTGGAATCTGCGATAGCTAAATCTTAATGAGTACTGCAGTTACTAATATTAAGTTTAATCCTTTTTATTTTGAACATAATTCACTAAAAATAATTTTCGATTAAGAAAACATTAAGAAATATTGTAAGTTTTCTTGGAAGGTTTTTTTAAAATTTTTTGAAAAAAAATAAATTTGCAAATTTATGAGAGAACTAATAACTAAATTTTACAACTCTATTTTCACAATATCTTTAGCTTAATTTTTTCAAAAGATATAAAATTAATAAAGTTATAAATTTATTAATGAATTGATGGAAATAAATAAAATAAATTAATAAAGTTTTAAATATGTTATAAAAAATATTACTGAAATTCAAGATTCCCTGTTAGATAATGCGCACTGTTAAACAATATAGTTTTCAGTTGGATATTTGTTACTTGAATAGGTAAAGCGCAATCACGAGTTTGAAATCAGAGCTGAATTAATTTTAATTCCAGGTTTTCTGCTTCATTGTCTAAAAGCCATTTTAATGAGCATTTTTATACGGATTTAATAGTTATAAGTATTTTAGAAGATATTACAATATATATTTAGAAGATATTACAATATATTAATATTCAAAAATTATGGAAGCAAGATAGATGGATGAAACCTCTGATTATAAAAGATAAGGATACAGGTCTTCCTCTCGACTGGATAACTTCGTAATTAGGAAAATTCAAATATTTCTGGCCACCTATCACCCACAAATATGCTCCTATTAAGGATTCTATGGCAAAAAATTTTTGACCATATAGCAACTGGTGGATCGACCTCAGTGTAAAATAATGAGCTTTGACAGCTTATTTAATCATTCAAAGACATTTAGAAAATATTAAATATTAAAATATTAAAATTTAAATAAATTTGCAACAATTCAAAAAATCAAAGAATATTTGAGAACGAAATAAAAGAAAATTCCAAAATTAAGAGAAAGTTAAAAAATATGTATTTTATATATTAATAGAAGCAAATTTGGCTACATCTTTGAGTAATGAAAATGTTTAAATATATGGGGGATGTCGGCTTTTATTATAATCAAAACATAAATTTTAGGGTAAATATTTTGCAATTTTACTCAATTGAATCGCCTTTAATTAATGAAATGAGTGATAAAATTGCATTTCGATTGAGAGAAATCTAAATTTTTATTTAAGATGATGGAAAGATTTTATGTGAAAAAATTCGCATAGATCGTTGTGGCATGTGTTAGAAAATTTCCTATAACGAATTTTAACAGCACTCACCATTTTTGACTTGGTTAGTTCCACTGACTATCAGGATGAGTCACATGGGAATAGAAGTACAGATGGTTTCCCATCATGACTCGTTTTATATTAGATAAGCCTAAGAAAATCCTTAATTCGCACAATTGGTGGATCAAATTACGAGTGAAATCCTCCAAATAAATTAATTACTATTGCAATTATCGGAACCACTGAAAATAAGTTTCGAGGATAAATTAGATGATCCACATTGGATGCGTCTTCGAATATATTTATTTTATTGGAAAGTAGCAAACCTTGCCTATTCATTATCCAGCATAAATTATGTTACACTTGAATTTGGCTTATTTTATCGAATTTTAATCATTTTAAACACTAACTTATAATAAATTCAAAATATTAACTAAAGGCCTAAAATCAATTTTTAAAGCTTGTTAAAATTTCAAATTTGGACCTTCAATGCAAACCTATTAATGCGTATATATATGTGCTCTGCGGGTAATGTGGGCCGTCAACCTCAGCTTTGCTGCCATAAGCCTGGGGGATCGAGAGAAGATAGATAAGCTTGCAGAGGGACTCGCCCAAGGACTCTCATCAGAAAGGTAGAAAGAACTGGCTGCAATTACATTCCATTATATATATATATATATATATATATATATACATAAAATATTTATAAATATATCTATAATTATACATTTATATTTATTTATGTTTATAAATGTATGAAAAAAAAGTTATAAATTTAATAATGTATAATATTTAATAATATTAATAATATATTACTCAAACATATATTTTATATATATATATATATACATATGTATGGGCTATAAATAAATAAAATAAAACTGTTCAGCCTCGAATCACATCCGATTATATCAATTTGTCGAAAGGCAAGACCAATTATATTTAACTCGAGTATCATTTATATTCAGAAGGCAAATATTTCCTTGATAATTTCCCCTTTTTCGATTCCATTTAGTTTCATATTCAAAATTAGCTATCGTAAAGAAAAAAAAAAGACGGAAAAAAAGAAAAATTTTTTCGAATTCAACATTTAACATATAAATGGTAAAAATGGGCCAATAAAAAACAATTATTATTTTAGGAAAAAACAAAAATTTCTAATAAATTATTTAACCTTGCAAATATTATTTTATTACTTGGTTAATAATAATATTTTAAAAAATTTCATATTCATCGTTAGAATACCTCCGCTAGCCGTTAATACGTTAGAAATTTTTGCCAGAAACCCATTTGGCGACAGAAAGTGGATTGACAACGCTATCAGGGTTTTTCAATAATAAGTTTACTTCCATGGCGTGTGAGAGCCAAATTGAACTGAGTAGAATTCATTTGACAATTGAAAGAGTTTAAAGCTTTAAAAGAGCTAATAATAATTTTTTCTAAAACACGATAAACTTATCCTTAATCCTTTATTTTAAAAAAACTATTAAAATGAAAACGATTCTATGAGGAGGTGACCATCCACTTTGTTGTATCTATTATATTTATAGATTTTCCGTTAAAAGTTGATTTGCATAATTCGATTAACTTTGATTATAAATGATATAAATGATAAGGGAAAAAATTATCTACTTTTTTCTCGCGAAATATATTTTTGAAAAAACTAAATTAACTTTTTTGAAATAGAAAAAAAAGACAAAGAAAGAAGGAATTAGAGGAAGAAATAATTCATTGGGAAAAAACGAGTCAATTTTCGATGAATAAAAAATGCAATTTTTTTGGCCTTTTTTAATCGAAAAAATATATCAAATTTATCGTTTTTCATTTTTATTTCCGTCCCAAAATTATTTTCATTTCTGCCTTTTTAGTTTATTTTAAATTTGATAAATTAATAAAACTAATGTAATCGATCCTCATGCTTAAAAATTACCTTATTCCATGCTATCATTTTTATCACCAATTTCTTTTTTTTGTGTTCACTACATTCTTATTAAGCAAATGACTTAGGATCTTCTTGATGATTTTTAAATAAATAAATAAAATGAATATCAGAAATTTTTAAACGAATAAAATATCTGAAAAAATTTCAAAAAAAGAAAAATCAAATACAAATTAAAATATAAATGTAAAGTATATAAAATTTTTTATTTTCCTAAGTTAAAAAATCTATATAATATTTAAGAAATTATAAATTGATAAATTTATGATAGCGATCCTACTATTAAGACAAATATTGAAATTGGTAAAAAAGGACCGTTGTGTATGCGCAGAACCGTTTTTAAAAAATACCATCTTGATTGATATTCTTTCACAGCTGCATTATATTCATGCCTTATCACCTATTTAAGCTTTGCCAGAGCATTTCTGTACTTGGTATTGTTCTTCATTTGCCTCAACTTCCCAATGACAACAGTTGCATATTGCGATTAATTATTGTAATTTGTAGATGCTATCACTGTAAAAGTAGGTTTGAAGAAGTATTAACGGAGCAATGAATGTGGTTGATGCTAAAGAGTATTGAATATTAAGCCAGAAAGATGCTTTAAATTGTTACGGATGAATTACGGCTAGAGAGTGATTTATTAAAGGAGTGTTTAACAGAAATTTAGGGAGCTTCTTATAAGAATTTATGACAGTTTTTATATGACGTTTTTAAAGGATATGAAGAGCTATCGATCCGAAGGCCGAGGCTTTTTTCATTCTGAGGCTTAAACCTTATTTTTTATCGGATGCCCACATGCATACATGCAAAATCTTAATCAAATCTTAATATACTACACCAAATTTTAAAAGATATTTAATATTCGGTTCAGACTTGGCATCATCTATAAATTTCATCTTTTATAACTACGATTTTAGGAAAAAAACTGCGTGGTTTAACAGGACGTTAAGGAAGAATAACGAGAATAAGCAGTGTTTATGAGATTACAATTAGATCTGGGAAGCTAAAAAAGGAAGCTAAAGAAAGTAGAAAAAGAGAGTTTGATGTTAGAATTCTGAATTTTCCTTCTTTATTCTAACATTTTCGAATTTTTCTATACGAAAGATATTATATTGTATTACATTTGTATATTGCCGCAAATTTAAGACTTTTGCGGCAACTGAATATTGCCGAGAATTTTAGAATTGGTCTTAGTAGAGAAGAAGAATTTTGGATGACGAAGGACCTTAGAAGTAGCACAAAAAGCGCTTGAGAAGCCAATGGAAGCATAACGGAGTTTAAAGGAAAATTATTAAAAGGTTATGAGAAAGCTGGAGGAATACGGATCGAGGAAGATGTAAAAAAATTGGACTGGAGAGGATTTAATGGTTTTTAAGAAAATTAGGATTTATAAGAATAATAAATAAACTTGACTCTTCGAATACTTCGAATATTTGGTTGGTAGGGTAGACAACATCTGCGACACGCACTATCTGTTTTATCTGTTTCATGTTATGGATCAGTTAAACATTGAAGTAAAATGTATATTTCAGAAATCTAGCAATATATGCGAAACTATCTATGGTTTGTATTGGGGATAAAGTCACAATTTGTGGACCCATTTCGTGATTTGAAGAAATGCTGAATTTTTGAACAAATTTTTTTTCTGTTCTACATTCGCTGTTGGGGAACGCCGTGTTTGAAGATTTGTCGTGAGAAAAGCATTCGATATCATCGATTCATTTGCGGTTTGCCAACCAACCGGTTCATTGAGATGCTAAATGAAATGATTTCCCAAAACTAAGTACCACTCATAAAATGCAAATTATCGGTGATTTTCTATTTCTAATTGTTTCAATGTTTCGAATAAAATTCATTTAAGTTTGTTGGTTGAAAAAAATTTTTTGTTCAGAATTTATAAAGAAAATAAATTTGTAAAAGAAATGTTTGTGCGAGAATTTTCATTTCAATTTCCAACTTGTTTAAATACTTTAATAAATAATAATTTTGACTTTAATTATTTAAATAATCATTTATGCAAAATAAAAGAATTTAAAATTCGCGCATTTTAGCAACTCTTCAAGCAAAAATATTTGTACTTTTGCCAGAAAGGTTATTCAACTGACAGAAATGAATTATCTACCAGAAATGCGAGAAATGCTGGCGACTCTCTCGGCGAGTTCTCTCGTCAAGTTATTCCTCAGCCAAATTTTTGTGTTCAGTAAGTCAGCGGAGTGAGCCTTTTCCTTTTTAATTAGGAAAAGATAGATAAGGAAGGAAAAAAGGGAGGAAATGGGAAAAGAAGGAGAATGAGGAAAAAATGGGGGAAAGGAAAAAGGAAAGGGATTGCAAACCTATTATTCACGATCTCCTTACAAGCCATTAAGATTGTTTGAGTAAATTATAAATAAAGCCACTTTGATTTTTTAAAATAATTCTTATTCAGCTGAAGTAATTCGTACTAAAAAAGAAAGTAATTATTTTATAATTTTGCTTTAAGGGTTTATTTTGTAATAAAAACTATAAAATTTTATATTTTATTCAAAACTTAATTAAATATTATTTTATAATAATAATAAAGTAATTATTTAATATTTGTTAAATTGTTCCAATTTCTTTCTAAAAAACTTATTTAAATTATTAGTTTTTCTTGTTTATTTGTTTATTTTGTTTTATTATTTTATTTCATTATTATTATTTTATTATTTAATTACAAATAGGTATATGGTTAGCGTTTAGATTTTTCATTTTTACATCCAGTTCACTGGCTCTGAGGAGAGGAGAGAATAAATATAGATGGATCATTAGCACTGCGCAGCCTTTCTCGCTAATCGCTTAAAGCTTTTACTGCTGTCGAGCGCGGAAGCCGAGCGAAAGCTTAAGATATCTAAAATATTGTCCATTTGGCTATTCTCCGTTTATTTCTTATTATTTTATCATTTTGCTTTATTTTTCTGTTATTCACTTTTAACAGCGAGGAAAATTTACATTTGGTATTTTTATGGTACCGCCAACGAGAAGTATATTTACATGTCTTCTTCTTTTCTTCCTCTTTTCGCTTCCTTCCCCTCCCTCTCCATGCTTCTCCCCTTCCTCGATTTTGCCCTCCATCCCTTTTTCGCCAGTAATTTATCGTTCCTTCTTCTGTTATCCCATATCACTGTCACTATTACTATTTTTTATTAGTTTATTTTGGTTATTACCATTTATTAAATTTCCTTTCTTCTCTTCAGTGCCTTCCACACCACTAAGCGATAGCGAAAGCAAAATAATAAAACATTTTTTAAATAATAAGCATCCGAAGATGTTGCAAAAGTGGAATCTGAAAAATCTAAAATTTTTTGTTTTCAGATTTTTATGATGGCAATAGTTAGTATGGAAATTGTGGATGCGAAAAATATGCAAAATTCTATCGCAACGATTGAAAATGTTTTTTTATATTTGTTTTGTTTTTCGATATTTTCGAAATATTTTTACTAAGTTTTTTTTAATACTTTAAACTAAAAGAATTATTGAATTAAAATTTTATTCATAATTTTTATTTAATATAATTTATTTAGCTTTCTCCGGATGAAACGATTTTATCACTAAAAAAACGAATCACACAAATCAGTTAGATTATTATCCTTTTGTTTAAATTTTATTTGTTCATAATTTTTTATAAATTTATGAAAAAAGTTTTCTTAAAACTTGGCAGTTTTTTCAATTATATACTTTGGCACCAAAATTAAGAGATTCTTGAAAATACAAAAAATAAGGTGAAATTTTTTTTCAGATGGAAGTTTATCGGTGGAGCGACAATCACTTCGCTTAGATGCAAGAGGAAAGAATCTTAATGATGAAACATATATATCTGACTTAAATTTGCCATCAAAAGGTGCTCAGTTGTTTTTGAAAGATCTTGGCCCTCAAATTTCATGGAAAACGGTAATTATCCGTAAATTTCCAAAAGTTTCATTCTATATCATCTCCATTTTATTTATACGACGAATATTTCAGTAAAAATAATAATTTTTTTACTTTTACTTATTTTTTTTATTTTTCAAGGTATTTTTGGCTGAATACGCAGGACCATTTTTCATTTACCCAGTCTTCTTTTTTAGACCGGGAATATTTTATGGGATTAGTAAGTTTTTTTCTTAATAATATATCTACCATTCTTCCTAATGCTGTTATTTTTGCTACGAAAAAATTATGTTCCAAATCTTCAGTTGATTTTTAAGGATAGAAATTTCAGTGTCACATGATCAGTCCATAAATGTTACCTCATCAGTACGTTTAGCTCTTTTATGTTGGACATTTCACTATTTGAAGCGGCTTTATGAAACTGAACGGATTCATCGTTTTAGTAATGCTACAATGCCAAGATTCAACATTTTAAAGGTTTTTTTTATTACACATATCGTGCATTGTTCATGAATTAATAAAATAAATTTAATTTATTTAATTTCGGTAGTTTTTTAAATTGATGATATATTTTTAGAATTGTGCCTATTATTGGGGATTCTGTGCTTTTATTAGCTATTTCATCAATCATCCACATTATACTCCACCGTACTTTGGCAATGTTCAAGTTTTTTTAGGACTGATTGGTTTTCTGCTTAGCGAATTCGGTTATTAATTATTAATTTTAGCAATTTTAAATTTAATTAACAATTTTAAAATGAAATTAATTAATTTTGGCTCCAATAAACATTGATAAGACATAGGATATATCAAATAAATTTCATGTAGAAAATATTATTCCACAAAAAATTAAATTTCCTTAAAATTATTTCTCTTAAAGAGAAATAATTGTATATTATTAGAGTTGGAGCAATTTAAAATGAAAAGAAGGAAAGAATTATATTTGGATAAAAGATATTTTTGTCTTAAAAGAAGTTAGATTGTATTAAATTCTTTTGATAATTCTGATTCGACTGACTGAGATAACTTAATTTGAAAAGAAGAGATACTGGTGTTCTTTGTCATCTGGGTTGCACTAAATTATTTGAATAAAATTTAAATTCATTCATTTAAATTTAAATTCATTTTAAAATTTGTTGAGGAAATTTTTCTATACATGTTGCATTGCGAGAGTTGCGACCAGAAGGTACAAAAAAACGTAAAATTCCATATGCGTCAACCAATCCTTTTACTTTATTATTTAATTTTGTCAGTTGTCCGAATTACACCTATGAAATAGCTGCTTGGCTATCATTTTCGATAATGATTCAATCTCTACCGGGTTAGTATTTAAGTATGTTCTTGTGAAGTTGGCGAAAATGGATGTCTTTGATCTGTCTTGTGGTAATTTTTGGATGGCTGATACAAATATATTTGGAAATTTTTTTGGAGCAATCGGATTAATGAAATAAAACTAAATGAATAAACTGTATAATATAATCAATAAGGGATTTCAGCATTTATATTTACCATCACTGGTTTTATTCAAATGTCAATTTGGGCTTTGAACAAGCATCGCGTATATCTAATAGAATTTCCGAATTATCCCCGAACTCGTAAAGCGATTTTGCCTTTTATTTTATAAATCGTTGTGGAAATTTTTTGTAAAAGTTGCTAGTTCGGCATTTTTCGCCATTGATAAAAATTATGCTTCTTTTCCATAATATATATGTATCTGTAATATTTCATAATATAATCTTGTTGCTGATTGTTTATTGTTTGCTTTTCAATCGTATCATTTAATTTCGCAGTCTTATCAGTTTTCAATAGTTTTGTTCATTATATTTTTTAAAGAAAATTTTTTTTCCTTTTTTTTAAGTTTGGGACTTGCTTATTGACTCTGTTACCATTATTTTTTGTTAACAAATCTTTACAGTAAAATCTCATTAAAATTTGGCAATAAAATTTAAATCATTTCACATTTAACGCTCTTTTCTATGATTCATTTAACTGTTTTGTAATGGCAATGAAATATTTTCATAATTTTTCACAGAAATCCTTTTCAAAAACAGCATAATAACAAGAACATTAGGTGGTTTTGTATTTCGTTCTATTTCATTTTAGATCCTGAGGTTTTTATTTGCATAAAATTTGTATGTTACCGTCGCATTTGCTGATCATAATAGATTGTAATGCACATTTCGACTATTTTTTGATTCAGGATGGCTTGGAACGAATGGCAAGCTGTTTTGTTATGTTCTGGATCAGGAAATGGGCTTTTGCCTATAACAGAAAATAATCCGAAATGTCTTGTTCCGGTAGCCGGTTTGCCCTTATTTTGGTATCAGCTAAAATTTTTAGAGATGAATGGATTCAAAGGTATTTGTATCATGATGTTATCAGTTCTCATTGTCACTTTTAACAGTTGGTCGTTGACTGGTTTGAATATTGAATATTTGAATATTGAAAAAACTGGCAATTGTTTTTTAGCCCCTTATTTTTCTTTTTTCCTGTTTAAGTTTGAAATAGCTCAATCATTTTTTTACCATCGTTTTTTTTGGTAGTTGTTTCATGTTTATCTTCATTGTAATTTTTGTTCAGTATTACAGATGTATTTTTCGTTGTTCCGGAAAGGTCATATGTGAAAATATCAAGTCTTTTGAATGGACGAATACCTCCATTACACGATTTGAATATTAACTATATAACCATGGAAGAATCAACTGCTGAATGGGGCACTGCAGATATTTTACGACACATTGAAGAAAAAATTAATGTAAGATTTGAATTGTGGATATGAATCTCATGTTCACATGCCTTCCGATCTGGTAATATCTGAAATTAATTGAGAATTCCTGGTCTAACCCTTATATTAATGGTTCTTATGCTGTTCGTATCAGTCAATCTTAGTCGGGCTTTATTAATTTTGATCCCATCTGCATTGCTTACCAGATACCGAGAGAAATGCGTCTTTGAAGATCGATGAAGAGCATAACTTAGCTAACATAAATTACGCTATTTAACGATACTATTTATCCGTGTAATGTCGAAATGCGAGTATCATCTTGTGAGATTCTGCTCGGCAAATGCATTTGATACGCATGTGATGCGGGATAGGAATTCTTAATGATAGTTTCTTAAATTTCTTTACTTTTGGCCATGATTCGAGGCTCTATAATAAAATTATGTGTGATGCAGCGAAACTTTACTGTAATAGTGGTTTCTTACATAAAGATTTTGTCTGATGGACGAAATTCTGCTTCAACCGGTTTTGTATAAAATTATGTAAATTATTTTATGTAATTTTTCTGCTTATGCAGTACTGCATCTGTTAGTTATTCATTTTTTAGAGAGATTTTATTGTTGTCAGTGGTGATTTTGTTTCAAATGTTGATTTGATGCCGATGCTTTCCTTGCATCGATCCAAAAATTCTGCTTTAACGTGTTTATTGGCCAAAAATGCTGCCCAAGGTTCTGTACCTGGCTCAACAATAAAGCGGTCAAATGGTTATCTCTCCACTTTTTTACAGTTTTTTTAATGTTTAAACAAGGAATGATTTAAAGATTTAAGCTTTAATTATTTATTTCTTGGCCTGTTTTCACCGATTATTGTAATATTTGGATGTTTTTAGAACTAATGGTCTTCTGTAATTTCTTAATTTATTTTTTACGGAGGACATTTACCATTAGTTCAATTTAGGAGAAAATGATTAGTACTCATTTTTCTGGATTGAAAACTTTCAATATTAATGATATTCATAAATAAAGATATTTTAGGTCGCGATTTGGTTGGCATGACTGCATCTAATCAGTTGCTTTTTATGAGTCCTGAAGATGACATTGAAGATAGAATATTAATTGAGCCGGAATTTTTGATGAAGCTAGTTTGATTTATTTTGTTTGCTTTTTTTTCGATTTGCTTTTTTATTTACTCATAAATTTTATATTGATTCAGGTTCAAAAATATATATTTTACTACTAAATATAACGACTGTCATATTTATTTGATTAAACGATGGCTTTTATCTGTTATCTGCAAGAAAAGGTTGCACTAATTTTTTCAATTAAAATTCAAGATTTCTGCAAGAAAAAAATATATTTTTAAGAAACAAGGAAGTTATTATCCATGAAGTGATCTTTTCATCATCTTTCTTTTTATTTTTAAACATTTATTAAATTTTATATATTAAATTCTTTGTTTTAAATTTATTTATTTTTGCCTTTTTATTTATTAAATAAAATGAACTATTTTTTATAAGTTGGTATATTTATAATGAGTTCTTTTAAAGGATTTACCTCTATACTTTGCAATATTTTTAATCGTTTATTTTAGTAATTTCACATCGCTCAAGGCTGATTTCATTCCTTATTTATTGGAGAAGCAATATACGGATATAAATGAAGATGCGCGTATGAATTGTGCTATTTACTTTTGTTGTCCAGAAAAAATTGGTTTTATGAATTTCGACTTACCAAAAAAGTTTTCTTCTATTAGTACAGTTAAATATAAGTTTTCCTGAAATCAGGCAAAGAAAATTATTGGAGCTTATTAATCAAAGATGTTCTCCTTTATCTATGATTTTTTAGAATTGATAGCCTGCAACAAGAAAAGTGAAACAGATGAACTCATTAATAAATTAAATCCTGGCAGTATTCATTCGATGAATGGTCCTTCTTTTCAGTGCTTTGCTTATGTTGTAACATCGAATGAACAATTATTCATCGCCCATTGCAATAATATAGGGGCATATTTTGAAGCCAATAAAGCAGTATTTTTTCATTTATTACCGATTGTTGTTTGACAATCATTGGTATTGACTGAGAAAATTTTTATAATTCATATATATTTGATTTCTCCTCTGGCTTTCGGATTTAGAATTTATTTCGAAGATAGTTATTCTTTTCTTTTTATCCAGTTTTTATAGTAAAAATAAGCGGTTGATACTCGTCATTTCTAGCTAAGCTAGATCCGCTGAGGCTAGAAGTACAGAGGACAGATTCTTTAAAACCTCTCTTAATACGATGACTGTTTTGCGCGCTGTTTTATCTGCTGCTAAATAATTTTTCGCAAAAAGATTTTTTACGAAAAGTTAGAAATACTTTATAAAAATTATTTTGCTGAGTTTTTATTGAAAGAATTTATTTAAATTTTATAATATTTTGCTTATGTGTTTCAAATTCGTATTCCGTTTGTCAAATAATATAAATTTGTTTAGATAGTGGATTTCTTACCTTTATTCGATGAAAATTTTCCTCCTACTTGTAAACTCAAAGACATTGCATTTGTATGCGATTCGTATATCGTGTCAAATATGCGTTTAACGGAAAGAAATATATCGACAACCGATAAACCAGTTATTAAACGCTCAGTAATTGGCAAGAACTGTTTGCTGGGAATAAGAACTAAGATATTGAATTCATTAATAATGGATCGTTGCGTCATTAAAAATGGGTGAAACAGATTGTTTATTGGTTTTAAAATATTTTTCGGATGAAGTGGGTCATTTAAATCATTAGATGTGAAATTTTGTAGTGTGAGATATTGAAATTGATATTGAAATTGATAGTTTGGTAAAAATTAAAAAAATGACGATAAAAGGTAATAAAAGAACATCGATGAATGAGGTATAGTTATTTTGTTATGGATAAGCCACCACACGCTCTATGCTATTTTCTGAAATAAGCCTGTTATTTAAAATGAACTACTGGTGAGAATACTTCTTCCGATGTGGCTCTCTGGTGAAAGGGTCATCCTAAGCCAGTAGAGACAGCCATTCAACGAGAGATCAGTGCCTTCGGAAGAAGGAAAAGAATGATTGTTTACTTAAAGCAACTGTGTATTTTTGGATTAATTTATAGATTGAAGAATTCACATTTAATATCCTTAATATCCTTTATTAATATCCTTACATTCTGGAATTACCATTTTTGCCATTTTACCATTTTTTACCATTCTTTTACCATTTTTTTTTCGATTTTTCGCAGCATTTTTGCGATTTCCATTTTATTTTTTTTTGATTTTTAAAACCGAAATATATATACAAAAAAATGTTTTATTTTACGTTTACTATATTATTTTCAATTATAAAAATTTTTTATTATCACAAATAACATTTATTTTAGTGTGCATATAATAAATTCGATCATTTGCCATGGTGTTGAAATCAATGAAGGTGCTGAAATAATATCTTCGATTGTTATCAATTCGCATAGAATCAATGCAAATGGTATTTTTTTTTTTAAAAAGATACTCGCCATTGCTGGTTAGATTCGCTGCTTTGGACTGTTGCACTAGACATGCCTAAGGACTTCCTTAACGTAGAATTGAGGTGATTCGCCAGAGTTACTGGAGCTTATCAATTGATATATGGTGATTAAGAAAAAAAATGGTGTAAATGCATTCAAGATTAAACAAGAAATCTTATAGAAAAAAGTTTCTAATTCAACAATAATTTTGAACTTAATTTCCAGCCAAAATTCAAAATGAAATTGTAAAAACTGAAAAAGAAATGTCAATAGATGATTAATATACAAGAAAATGGCTTATAGTGAAAAGTGAATATATTTTTTTTATATTTTTATTTTACTGAATACATTGTATATATTGTTTGAGTTTTTGTTGTAAATGATTGATAATAAAAGTTTTATTTTAAAAAATCTTAATCTAAATTGATGCGACCATCTAATGAAAGTAATGTACAACTTTTACAGTTTACATGGGATAAAATTTCTAAATTATTTCAGCCAAAGATATGTAAATTCAATTTTTTAAAGAAAAATGAGCTTAAGTTCTTAGATAAATCAAACTTATTTCGATCTTCGATAATTCCTACACTACCTTAAATTCAGTACATATGTTATGTTACTAGTACGGGCTTATTTACAGGCTCTTTTTAAATTTTCCATAATAGGCTTCTTCTCATGGCCATCATTCTTGTAGAATTTTATTAAAGCATACCCAAGTAATATGTTTCATTCAGTTGCAGATTTCGATTTTTATTAATCATCTTACGTAATTATTTACGAATACTATGAAAATTATGAATGATGACGATTGACGATTTCTTCCTATAACATAAACATGAATTTAACTACTTGGCAATGCTAATAAAATAGGTAGTTTTTGCACGAAATGCACCATCGTCGTCAGAAGTACCGTTCCCCAGGCTGCAACCATAAGCGTATGCTGACTCCTATAAAATTGTCGAACCACTATCCTTTAGCGAACTGAAATGAAACTGCCACTTACATCGTCAAACTTTTCCCCTCTTCCAACCAATTTCTAAAAAGGAAATTGCTGGTGATGAAATATAATGGGACTGAAATGTGGAGGGTGGAGAGGGGGGCGTCCCCACTAAACAACCAATGGGAATCCAAAGCTAAACCTTTTTTCCCACGCTTAGATATTTTTCTCCAATTTTTTTATTCTTTGGTAGTAATTTTCTCGAGATTTGTGCAAATTCTAAAGGTCAATTGTTCTTATTAATTATTAAATTGTCGGTTTTAGAGTTAATTTTATTAGGGAACCGTGGGGCACGTTAGCCGATTGGTTACTGGATGAGATTGTCGTTTTAAAAGGCGAAGGTTCGGCTGTTGTCTTCAGCAAAGGAGGGAACCATTATTAAAAAATCGAATAATGAATAAGTTGTCTCGTCTCCCTCGCAAAAATTTTAAACCCTACTAATGGTAGCGAAGCGAATTTCTTCTTCCAACAGCTCTCACCATTACTGGTTAGGCTAGGTGCAATGGCTGCAAAGGTAAGACGCCTCGAAGCGGCGCGGTCTGATGCCATCGTCGACAGTAATAGGAGCCATTCCTTTTTCCATCGTTCAAGTCCATATATAGGGAAGCGAATTTGCAAAATACAAATCCTTCTCTTCTCAGTGCCTTGCATCGTTTTTCATAAATTTGAGGAAATTTGCTCAAATATTTCTCAGTAAAATAATCATTTTAGTTGGAAAATTTCAGATAAAAATTACATATAAAAATAAAAATGCAATCAAATCGAATGTTTTTCTTCAATTTACCTTCTATTTCGACTGATATTGGAAATTGTCAACAATGGTAAGTGGAATTTCGTGGAACTTCGAATAGGGAAATTCGGTTCGAAGTTTTGGTAACTTTGATATTATTTTCTTTACACTACGGCTCCTGGATTATGGAAATTTCTGGGGAGAGAGAAATGGTTCAGTGGATTATCGGTCTAATTTCGGAATGCTGGAGTTCTCCTCTTGGCACGGGCAAATCTGTCCTTCAAAAATTTTGACGATGTAGGTGACGACTCACCTATAATTCTATTGTCAAATCTCACTCCCTGACAAGATTTACTCGGTACGACAAGCCAGTGGCGTGAGTTTAAATATAAGTAAACGCTTCTTTTCCATTTTACTATTAAAATTCTCATTTTTTTGCATTTAAAATAGGAATTAAAGTCGGCTTTTGTTGGAATTTCAGCTTAAGTGATTTCAAAACTTTTGGAAAAACATGGTTACCACAAGTTTTGCAGGGAAATTTATCGGCAGCAGTGGTTTCACAATGGTGCTTCTAATTATGATGTAATATTTTATTATTTCTAGTCGAAATTTAAAAAAAAATGTAAATTATATTAATAATTTAATGAACTATGGATAAGATCACTGAATGACACGATATTTCAAGTTCGAGGCCAATTATATATTCGATTCCTATGTGAACCTGTCATTTAAAAATGGAATCCAAGTGGTGGTAGGGGTCCATTTATGCTTCTCTTTTCCAAGTGGATCTCTGGTAAAGCATTTTAACCCTGCTAGATGTATTCCAACTGGAAATGGTGAGTAATGAAGAAAAATACTGCAGTTTCATATTTCACGATTAAGATGCCTCAAGTTTTTATAAAGGTTTTTATGGAATGAGTGTATTGAACCAGGCAATAATAGCGGTAATAAATGAAATAGAACGAAAGGAAATATTAGTAGTAATTAGTAGGGATTATAAATTACCGGTAATTAATGGAATTTGTGAGTTTCTTGAAATTGATTTATCAAAGATCCTGACCGTAACTGCTTGAAAACTGCTCGACCTTTTATCATTTGCTGTTTAGTAACATTGCAATGGACATGCCTTTTAAAGCAAAATTCTGATGCAAAAGTAAAGGTTTTATGTTCGAATCTTGTGTTCTCGCAGCAGTTGGGGTCATAGGTCGATGCGTTAGATGGTTCTTGAAAGAGATTTTTTTCAGAGAGTGTTGAGGAATATTTTAGAATGTGTAGATAATGTCGTAATGGGTGGCAGAAGGTTAGTTGCTTCTGCATTATTACAAAGCCTTATTTTTTTAATTCTAAACTGTTACTACATTATCTTCAGCTGAACTTTCACCTTTAAATGATTTTCTTGAGTTTGAGAGATTAATTTTTCAGAACAACTGATGAAAATAACTTTGTTATAGCTTTATGCCCAAAAACTGAAGCAAGTAAGTCTATGAAAATCTTATAAATATGTAAGTGATATGCGTTCACTGTTTCTGGTTAGGTCCACTGGCTGGTTCCACTGATTTAGAATGAACATTGGGAATTTTTTACTATCATAGCGATAGAAATATAAGTGGGTCCGGAATTTTGATTGGCAGGTTTGTCCTCGTCAGAGGCACTTGACTTAATTAAAAACGCTTTTTATTGCATTGTAAAATTTATGCACTATATTTTGTTGATAATAATTTGAAAACGTTGTTCATTAATTTAGAATATCATTCATCATTTTTTTTCGATAATTCTTTTAATTTGCAGAAGAACAAAATGACAAATATTGCAGTTTCTGCTTTAATAATTATCGATTTCAGGTTAGCGGTTATTATTCATTTTTTCAATATTTTGTAAAAATTTATTTACCCGTAGGCATTATAGACGTTGTTTGAGTTCTAACTGGATTAAATTAGCAGAAAAGCGGATTGATGGTTGAGAAAAAAGTAAGAGTGGCTTCATGAAGAGATAACTGAAGGATTTTAGCAAAATGACATGGTTCTGAAATATAAGAAAGAGGTTTTTAACAGAGATACCATTGCTTGTTGTTTTTTTGGACACACATATAATTATTAAATGGCATAGCGTGTCTTAAGATTTTGAGATTCCTCACCTTGATTCTTTTTTCACAGAATTCTCGCTCATTGCTTAATTTTTCTTTGTTGTATTCCCTATAACTACCTTTGAAGCCGTTTCTGCACCTTCAAATTTTCACTTTGCTGTTTTGAAATCCTTCGCTTTGATTCTTTTAATTTATAACTCCACCTATGATAAAATTATATTCATGCTAAATTTGACGGAGCGTTAAGACAATAAACTGAAAATTGTCGTTATCAGGCTGAGCTTGAGTGAGTTAGAGCAACACAAAGAAATTAAAATTATATCAGCAAAAAAGAATGGGGCGAATGTTAGTGGAATATTGACGAGGATTAAGAGTTTTGAGGCACAGAATGTTACAACAGGTTTTGGGGAACTTTCCACTCAAGCTTTAATGGTGCCCTCAATAACCATAACAGCAATAAATTTAGTACGATACGACGAAGTTTGATGGAGCATTGGAGGAACTTAACTAGGACTTGAGGGGAGTTGGTGGTATTTTCTGCAGAAGTTATCACAGATATAGCTTTATAGATATAGAAGAGTTGAAATGAAAAGGATTTACTAACGCGTTAAGGTAAAAGAACACTTTCGAAACGGTTATAGTAGAGACATTGTTTAACTGGCATTGAAAAGATTTAATTGAAAAATTTTGGTCAATTTTGGAGGAAAAGATGAATTTTTTTTTCGACAAATTAATGAAAACAGCAAATGTAGATCCCTTTTTATGTAGATCCCTTCTTCTTTCTTCAACTGTCACTTTTGGTTTGGCAGATTTCCTCAACTAAAGTACCTTGCTCTTACCAGAGAGTTATTTGAAGATATAGGTACAGGTGGAACTTTTTTATTAAGATTTATTCCCGTCAAAGAGCATGGGTCGAACCAGTGGTAGTTGAATTCACTGGTCTCATTGGCTGAAATAAAATGTTTTATCCGTTAAAGTTCCATTCAGTCATTGTGACCATTTTTTATTTATTAGATTTATTTAGCTTTATTTGGTAAAATTGGGGATTGAATGGCTCAGTGGGTTTTTGCTCAGTTAGGAATGTCGATGCGCTGAGGTTCGATTCCCCGCAGGAGTAAACCTGTCCAAAAATCCGGGTGATGCTGGCGACTCTCCTGTATTTCTATCGCCAAGGGACTCCCTGGCATTGCCCAATGCGACAAGCCAGAGGAGCGAGCTTAACCAGTAATGGTGAAGACTCTTTAATTAAAAAAAAATTTGGTAAAATTATTTATTGATTAGATTACGAACTTCGGTGAAGTCAATTGGTTTGTGATTTTCAATTTTAGATGGATAAGAAAGGCATAGTTATTCGTCCAACGGATCCTGGTTTATGGCGCCAACATGTTTGCAAGGATTCCAAAGGTTTTGTTATTTGCCCATTTCTTTCGAGGTAAGTTAGCCTTTTTTAAATTTCTCGATGATAGTTGTCCTCAGAAAGCTATCTGATGCCATAAATCTCATTACGTGCGAATTAATTAGTGCATCGTGAAGTGAGTTAAGAGAGATTAAAGAAGATTATTTGTGGCTATTAGAAAACTATTCATTGACTGAAATAATCCAAAACGTTTATTCCTTATCATATCACTGACATATGAAAATCGATAATGGGCAGGATGATCGATATCTTATTTCCATCAAGTGTAATCCCTGCTGCTTTTTATGAGCAAATGTCATTAGAAATGAAGACCTGTGCTTGGCGACCTTTCCTCTATCTTCAAATAATTCTGCGGCTTATCAAATAATCAATTGAGCCAAACTATTATAGAAACTATAAAAAAAAGCATTAAAGAAAAAAGTCTTTAAATTTGAGATAATTTCGAAGTCATATTCTCAAATATTTCAGTTGAAATATTATATTTCTCAAATAAAAGGTCGTAATTACAACCATAAAGATTATTTTCTTTTACTATTGTGATTTATTATTAAATATTATTTTATTATTGTTTATTATCAAATAATGATAAATAATTTTAGGCACATTTGTGGTTTATGCGGTGCAACGGGAAAATTTGCGCATACTGAACGTTATTGTAAACAATGAAATTTCATTTTCTGCAATCTTTTTTTCAAATTTTTGCAAACGTTCTATTTAAATTTAAAAAAATCGTTTTTTTATAATTTTTCAACTGAAAGAAAAATTACCGTGAAAAAAGAGGGAAAATTATTTCATTTCCTTTGAATATAATTCTTTGTAATTTTTGCAAATGAATAAAAAAGAAATTTTGCTTTAGATTTCCACAAAATATTATTTGAATTTAATTAATCAAACTGAAATGAAATTTCAAATGTCTTTTCAAATGCTTGTCAGGCAATTGCCCGCGGGCTTGCTTTACGACCAATGTCGTTCATATTATAATTTTCTGGTAGATTTGGATGCCCCTCTCGAGACACCACTAATTGAAGAAGCGAAGGCCATCCTCAGCTCTTTGCGTGTCGATAATATGAAGCAAAATATTTTTGAATTGGCGCAAAAATTTATTGGCACATTGCCAGGAGATGGGAAGATAGGGTTTCTTATTTAGTGGGAAGTTTTGGTACCTGCCTTGGTTGGGTTATGTCTCCTTGGGTACTTTGCGGTGATTTGGTGTGAGGTGGTGAGTGACTGGCATGTGGCTTTCTTTTCCGTATTTCTTATTACTTTTCTTTATTTTGCCCTGGAATAGTTTAGAATATTATGTTCTTATCAATAAAAGTTTGATACTATAGGCTTATTTTTAAAATTAAGTTAAAAAGAGTTGATTAAAAGGTAATATTTTAAGTTTCTCGATTATACAGCTCTTTTTGTTTTATAACTAACTACATTTTCGCGAGAGAATTTAAATGTAGAAACATAGATGGGTCTCCAACACTCGGATCACCACTCGGATTTCACATTAGTTTTTTAGTTTTCACATAAATTCATTTCAATCAGGCGGCATGTCTGGCACCGGACTCGTGTCTTCAGTCGAGCCAGCTTACCACTAATTTTTTTGCTGCTAAGAATAAGGTGGGTCATGATGGTGCGATTGGATAATTGCGTTTAAATGATTATATTTTTGTTCGTTGGTTCAGGAAACTATTGAATAATTAGATGTTTTTACAGGTAGCGCTTATTTTCACATTTCACAATGTCCATGTCCATGTTTGCTATCTTATTTTTTTGAGAGTGATAACTGACCATATTCATTCGTTTTTTCATTATGCATTTTAAAAATACGAATCAAAAATCGAATAATAATATTTTCAGATATGGAAACTGATACTGAAGTTCGACCATCTTTCAGTCTACTGGAAATTGCGGAAAATCGAAATGGTTGGGGACCTGTTACTGGTTTAGAAAAATTTCAAAGTTTGCCTTATCAGCAGTTCAATAAAGCAGATAAAATTGGAAAAGTGGCAGATTGGATGGGTATTACGCAGTTTAATGACCGATTTAGACGTAAATTTTCTGCATTTTCATCAAAAATTATTTTATCCTTATACTCTGCTTAATATATATTCATTTTATTTAAAAGTTTTGTTTATAAATCCATTGCATTTTTTTGTGATATTTTTTGTTGCGTGGTTCTAAAATCATTAGTTATTGTTATTACTGTCTAATATTTCTTGAATAAATAATTCTAATTGGTAATTGCTGAATAATTTCACTGAATTATCTTTAGGTGGCACTTTATATGGTAATCCATATGCATCAGGAACAATTGGATCTCAATATGATTATATTCATGATGAGGAAGATTCGACTTTCCAACTCGTAGATACTAGTAAGCCGCAGAAGCAGAATGTGCAAAGAGGAGGTCGTATACGTCAGCAGCAATTATTTTATGTGAGGTTTAGTTTTCTTAATTTTATTATGGAGCTTCTTGAAGTTATATTATTATTAGTGGTTTACCATAGTGGTTTTTTCAGGATTCAATATTTAATTAAAATTTAGAGGTGAATTCATTCCATTGCCCTCTTAATTGAAATGATTTACGATGTTTTTACTGATTTCATTATTTATTCCAAAAAATCCTTGAAAGACATTAAAAATATAAAACTGTTCATTTTTTAAAGAGACGATTAGTCCAAAAAGAGAATGAGCGGCGAAACCAAGCAATTTATGGACAGAACCAGAAAACTAAACGTTGTATTGCGAAGTTGGTTTCTTCTTTGTATTCAAGCAAGATTTTATCAATATTTTTTTTTAAATCATGGGAAGCTATAGTTTGAAATTAATTTGAGTTTGCTTGCGTTAATTTACATTTATTTCGATAGTAGACATATGGATAATTTATGATAGATAGAGCTTTTTTATTATCCTACTGTTTCATTAGGACATTATATTTTCATATAATTTTTTAAGAGAGCAGCAGAAAGCTTTTAAGCAGTGGCAGAGACGTGGTGGTGGTGCCCGAGGACGTGGTCGTGGTGGTCAAGGATATGGCCGATGGGACCAACGAAATCAGAAACAACTTACAGCTAGCATAACTGTTCGACCAGAATGGCAAGTTCTAGAAGAAATGGATTTCCCCCGGTTAGCCAAGCTCAATTTGCCAAATGTGGAAAGTGGTCAGGATATGTAAGTAATTTATTAAAGTATTTCATTTTATAAATATCAAATGAACTTCGATTTGATTTAGAAATTGGTATAAAGATATGGTTTGCATTAATTTTAACCTCTAGTACTTGAATTTTTTTTCTTTTATTCTTTAAGGTTACGTTAAATATTTTAGAAATGGTCATCGTTATGGTCAATTATATTATTATGACAAGAGTTTTGATCGTATTACTGTAAGAAATGAAAAGGGCCTTCAACGATGTGGTGGAACATTTTATAATCTTACTACTACCGAGGATCCAGTGATTCAGGAGGTTTTCTTAATTTCAGGATTTCTCCACGTTATAATATGTAATATTTCTGGTTAGACTGATTTGATTAACCGTGAGCTTGATCAAAAGTACCGTTATTACCGTTATTTTTGTCAAGATATCACTCGACAAGAATTTTAGATGACTAGCTTCACCTTTATTTTTTTCATAATAAGTTTATCCTGTGAAGGTTAGATTCGAATTCTTTGATGCTGATGTATGAACTATGCTATTCGACCATCTCTTTCACCTTTTTAAATAAATTTTTTGTGAGATTTAGCTAGTCATTCGAAGTAAATTCTGTCAAAAGTCATACTAATTATTTGGTTACTTGCTAATTCAGCGTTTTACAAAATTTTGGCTAGTTGACATTGCAAAGTGCATTATGATTACGAAAAAAACTTAAGTTATATGTGTGGTTAATTTGGATTTAAAAACAATCAGATCATTTTTCTTTCTCAACTATTTCTCAAATCTTTGTTGAAATTTTTGTAAAATCAAACCAATATATATATATATATATATAATTTATGAAAAATTAAAAATTATCGTTTATCTTATTTTGAATATAATGCACTTATTAAAATATAAAAGTAGTAATCATTCAAACAAAGATTTAAGAAATAATTGTCATTTAATCATATAATCATTTTTGAAAAAAAAGCAGATATTTTCTGGATTATAAGATACGATATTGTATGGTCGAATCCTCATGTCAAGTATATATTCGAATTTGTTCCTATATTTTTATTATAGCGTAATATGAAAATTCTCTCTCATTATTGTAGGTAAGAGGTAGTAAAAGATGACACAAACAAAGCTTTAGGAGATATTAATGGAATTATGGATAAATTTTTGCGGAACATAGTTTAGAAGCTCCATGCTACTTTATTGCAAGTACAGTTCTTTTTCAGTTAGCGCAACAAAATACTGGAAATGTTTTCGCTACAGATATGATTTTGGCTACTCTGATGGCCTCTACTCGTTCTGTTTATAGCTGGGATGTAGTAGCTTATCGTGTTGGCGACAAACTTTTCTTTGATAAAAGGGACACAGGTGGTTTCTCGAACCCAGTTGGTCAGTTTTTCGGTTTTATGAATAAAATTGGCAAATTGTGTTTCTCTATGCTTCTTCAACCTTTAGATTTTGTTATAGAGGATTTATTATTTTTGCCAAATGTTCCATACAATAAAATTTTTACTTTTAAAAATTCGTTGTATTGTTTTAGACGCTTTAACCGTAAGCGAAACTTCTACTGATGCACCTCAAAGCGATGATACATCTAGTATTAATCATCCTCGCAATCTGGCCACAGAAGCATTATATATCAACCAAAATTTCAGAAGAATGGTTTTAAAGAGAGTTGGTTCTTATATCCTTTTTTTTAAATATTTGAAAATGGATTTAATAGGTCTTTATTTCATTTTAATGGTTTAAGTTGAATTATAATTTGTTTTTAGAATGAAGAGCCATTCAAATATGATCATCCCCGACTGCCATTTGATGAAGGCGAAGCAGATGCTGATTCTTGCGTTGCATATAAGTAATATCCTTTTATTTTTTGCAAAGTATTTACGAAGTTTTGCTGCGCTATCAACTCATTTCTTATATTTTGATAATTATGTGTTAAAAGATAATTTTTTCACTAAAGATACCGATCTTGGAGTTTGGGCAAGCAGACTGATGGAACTGAGATTCGGCTTGTTTGTCGCACTGAACATGACGGTGTTACTGTTGGACCAAATGGAGACATTCAAACGTTGACCATTAAAGCATTCAATGAATGGGACTCTCGAGTATTAAATCTTTTCATATTAATGAAGACTAATTTAACACTTTTTTAGGAAAATGAGATATTGAAGTGAGTTCTTATTTATTAATTTGAAGTGGGAATGAAGTTTTGAACGAATACAAATCTTATAATTTTAGTTTTCGAGTGGGGTTGACTGGCGTAGCAAACTTGATACACAAAAAGGAGCTGTTTTAGCCACTGAATTGCAAAATAATAGTTGTAAACTAGCCAAATGGACTTTGCAAGCATTACTGGCTGGTTCGGACCAGATAAAATTCGGGTAAATTTATTATTTAATTTATTATTCGAGTAAATTTAATTTATTATTTTATGGCATTTTCTAGTTTATATGGGTGCGTTTATATGTCTAGAATTTCAATTTCAGTTATGTATCTCGAGTAAATGTCCGTAATAGTGCCAATCATGTTATTTTGGGAACGCAGCAATATAAACCTTCTGAATTCGCCACTAATATTACGCTTAACCTTGATAATGCATGGGGCATACTTCGTTGTATGATTGATCACTGTATGAAGCAGCCGCCTGGGAAATATCTGCTTCTGAAGGATCCTAACAAAGTAATTCTGAGATATTCTTTATTACTTTATTATATTTCTTTTATTTTAAAAATTGGATTAAATATTGGATCAAAAATTGGATTAAATTTTTTATTGTAATTACTAGTAAGCAATATTGATAAGAATATAATGTCGCTCTCAATTTCGGTAATTATTGTAATAAAATATTTCCAGCCTTCTGTGCGGCTTTATTCCTTGCCAGAGGGTACTTTTGAATCCAGTGAAGAAGACAATATGGATTCTTCGGCTGAAGAAAATTCATCTGATGATATTTAGATAGCATTTATTTTAATAATGCTGTTATTTAAATTGCATTAAGTGGAAATATATATGCGAGAAACATTGAATTAATTATTTGATATTATGTAAATAAAAAATTGTTAAATATTTAGGTTTATTTATCCGTTTTAATCGATTTTTGGCCTGATTAAAAATCTCCAAAAGTTATGAAACGTGATATTTTGTTAGAAAATATTTTTGTCGAAAATATTTCTTCCATATATATATATATATATATATTTATATTTATATAAAGATAAAAAACCACTGTTCTCACTGTTTATGAGTGGCATTGGTCAACTTCGGATCCTGTATCAGAGGCCTGAAAGGTTGAGGCAAGGAAGACAAACTTTCAGAGGATCTTGCCCAAGGAGCTATAAAGGTAGAGAGAGTTGGTTGCGGTTTGAATTGTTTTTATTCATTCCGTGTTAATCGCCCGTTTTGTTTAAAGCATAAAACTTATAGAATTTATGGGCGCTTTTATAGGATTCGTGGTGCAAAAATACCTCAGAAATATAGTGGTAACACAGGATACAAAATGCAAGCAGGAACAACATGTGAGTAGTTGGCACCTGTAGGGATATATAGTTCTGGACATACCCTAGTGATACTTTGATAGGGCGTTTGAGTGCTTCAATTCGCATGATATTCCAAACGGGATGATACAACTTGGGATTAGCAAAACGACAGAATGTGGTGTGCTGATGAGCCAGGGTAATTGCTCGAAACCTGTTAAGGGCAATGAAAAAGCCAGACCAGCACTCTGCACATGCCAAGACCATGTTGGCCATAGCTACTTGGAACACCAGAATATTTATTGATGTTACAAGCCAAGCGATCACTCATTTTAAATATTGTGTGGGCATCGCCTTTTTGTCGGAAGTTTATCTTCCTCATTTTTGGTAGTGAGCAGCTACTGAACCTGGCTCCGAATTGAGGTGCTGGTCATATCATTTTGATCCTGACTATCAGACATTTCGAAGAACTGCAACTACGGCAGCACATGAAATAGAAATTGCTGTTGGAGCGATATATGGAGACGACCCGATTAGGCGGCAATAGGAAGCTATTCCGCCTTCTACATTTATAACTGGTATAACTCTGAGAACGGCTATTGAAGTGATATGTTAGTAATGGTATGGCTGTTAAGGAAGAGAATAAATAAATAAATAAATTTTTCTTAAATAAATTTTTTTCATGTAAAAAAAGAATTATGTGAAATAGCTGCAGCTCTTACGTAATTTTTTCCATAATAGCCAGTTTCACAGCAAAAAAATCAGTCAATCACATTTTTGATAATTTGTTGTAAAGGCTTAGGCTTGGGCTGAATAAGGCTTGGATAAGCGAAAAAAATTGTTATGGAAAGTAGATACTTGGAAAGTTTATCAAGAGATCGAAACATTTTGAAAAGAATATTTCAGGAATATTATCGTGGGATTTTTTCTTTATTTTTTTGGTTCTAAAATTTTTTCGAGGACTATTTTCTTCGCTTTTATTTTCTTATTAAAATAAATGCGAATATTTCATATGCTATTACAATTTGCAAGAATTCATATAATATATCACTTCTCTCTTATAATTTTTTGAGAACAAATAATCGATGAAGATTGCCATAGACTGGTTTCGGTTGTTCTGCTTTGAATACATTTGAATCAAATGGAATTCTTTCTTCTTTCCAAAAAACATCAATCACTTGAAATCCTACAATTAAAAGTTAGATAATTATTAAATTAGATAATTATTAAATAATTATTAGATAATTATTAAAGTTAGATAATCCTAAATGAGCCAAAAGTTCTCCAAAGCCATTTTCTAAGATATAATTAATTTGTAGAGTTACATGGACCTTCAAAAAGTATTGATGCTCGCAGTGGTCCATAAATTCGATGTGCGTTAAACACTAAATGATCCATATAATCAATTGGTAAGCCTAAGAAAAGCAATCCATCTTTTTTAAGAAAGCAATGGATCTTGCGAATTTCTCGAATATCTCCCATCGGGTCTATAAATCGGATTTTCATCTTTTTGAATTATTCATGCTATTACAAATTGTCTTTAAGGAAGTAGAAGCAGTTAAGGGTTTATTAGAAAATTTTCACTTAAGGAATACCTAATGGATCACCATAACGACCAAGGCCACTATGTTCAATGCTCGAAAAAGCGATAACAAAATCGAAACCTTCACTACAACTGGAAATTTGCAAGTTTGGAAATTTTAAGAAAATTTTAAACTTTAAATCGAACCAACATATGAGAAAATATAATCATGGAGATTAAAATAATATCGAAAAAATCTATAAGCAGAATTTAAGCCAATATAAGAACTGTACAAACTTTTTCCACTGAATTGCTAAATTGATCGCATTGCGGTATTCCATTTGGGGATGATCAATTGTTATATTATTGTAATCCACAGTAATCATCTTCAAATCTTCTCCATCACAAAGTTAAAAAATTATTGATGATTTTTAAAAATTCTTCACAGATATTTTAAAGAATTTTAAAAACCACAAAAAGAGTAAGAGTATCGCACAACGCTGGTGCAAAATCCCATTTTGCGGTTGGGCAGAATCGCCTTAAAACCCGGATGCACACTGCGAAACTTATTGCATCCGCTTTTTTCTTTTTTTTGCGCACGAATATAATAGAATTTCGGAAGCATTGCGCTATAAATTTGGTAGTTTTCCACTGAAGGATAGAAATGAGTCGGAAGAAGATTAATAAATGGAATCAATGAAGGAATCTTTGCGCAATATAGATGAAAGTAAATGATGACACCTAAAGTACAGAGTTGTTAAAGAGTCATAGATAAGCAGAATGAAACAGTGTGGCGAGATCTGAGAGGGATGCTAGTGGAGTAAAATGAGGTCCAATAATGGTGAGGGCTCTTCGAAAAAAGGGGAGTTTAACATGGTTATTGAGAATATAACTGGCTTGCAACAGAACAGTACCTCATGTTATTTGCAACCTAATTGCCATAGCAATTTCGCTCTGCGAACATAAAAAAAGGTAAAAAAAGCCACGTTGTTACAACTGGATAAAGGATTAGAATGAGTTTAAGGGGGTCGAAATGATGACAAAATTATAGCAGATGCGATAATTTGGGCGAGTTGGATTATCGGAGTTTTTTTCAGCAGTCCTTCGTCAGTACTGTCACCGATGAACTTTGAAGTACTAATAAGTAAATAAGTCATAGTAAAATAATCGAGGTTTGGGAGTTATGGTATGTCAAAGCACTATAACAATAATTAATAACATGAGAAGAATGTGGGAATACAGGAAAGAAGTGTTTAAAGAGATATTACACCTGCTAATAACAAAAGAATATAAACCATTAATGGTTACCTCGCTACGCTGGGTTATCTGACCAGACAAATTTCACTTGGCACTAAAAATATAGGTAAATGTCATTCGGACTTTTGATGGGTTTGCCGGATGTAGAACCTTAGCATCGACGCTCCAAACTGGCCTACTGAGCTGTATCTCACTTCACTTTTGCATTTCCGCGGTATTAAAGCATGGATTCGAACTCGAGCCATCTTAGATTTGCCATTCTAGATTGTCGGTGGCAGATATTTTTCGTTTTAATAAGCTGTTAAAGGGGCCATTGGGCCATTATAGAAATACAGCAAAATCTCGGTGAGTATTTAAGGAGACATAAGTTTTGAGGAAGTGATTGGGGAGATAAAGCAGAGTTTAGAATATGAAAGCAGAACTTTAGATGTAGAAGAGAATAACTGGATTTGGGACGTTGTGAATTTTGATAGAATTCGGCAAACATCAAAGACATGCATACTGATACTGATTAATAAATTATTGTTTTTATAATACAAATTATTTTATCTAAATCTATCTAAGTACCTTTTTAGCTCCATTCCTGATGCAGATTACTTCCACCCATGGAATAATCGTGCCTATCACTAATCCTATATTTCCACGAATTTTGTGACGTAATGTTGCATAATGAACTGCTACTGAAAAATTTCTCAAGATCATATGCCTTCTTAGCAAAATATTTCCGTGTTACACAAAATTAACTTCCCTCAATTCCTCCCCATCAAGTGGTATTTAAACATATTTATCAATAGTATTTGAGTCCTTCGGCTGCTAGAAATATTTCTGAGGGTGAGTATACAGCTGGAAGTCAAATTGCCGGCGCCAACCATATTCATTTTTAATAACAGGTTTATTTTTGTTAAAGGGTAAAAGCGGAAGCTATTCTACTTCATCATCATCTGAAAGATATATAGCATTTAGCCACCCGGAAACTTGCTAATAAACAAAAGGGATTACTTCCTTCTTGTCCATAGTTTAAAAACGAATACGGATCTTGCTTTATAAACTTATTGATTTCATCTCTCCTCCAGACTCGTTCTACTGAATTTTCTTCATGTAAATACCTCAAATTCAAGTTACAGTTACAATTATCTCTAAGTCAGAAAGAAATAAAAATCAAAGAAGAATAATTATAATATTTGATACCATGTGTGAATCATTGCATGGCCATTCATAGAAAATTTGTTAAAAAGTGGTTCTGGTATCCATTCTACGATTTTTTTTCCAGGATGGTGACTTCGAGCTATTATTGACCATTCATCGAAAACCTATAAATATTATCTTATACTTGGCAAAATTTTTCCATCTTTTCCAAATTTTTCCATTTGTTTTCGCAAACTATCGTTCTGAATTCTATTCAAATTGGTTGTATAATATATACTTCCTGACAAGTTCGTTTTTTCATTTGTTTCAGCACTGGCACAGGTTCACTGTATGAGGAGATGCGATAGCCTATCGGTTTGAACACTTCATTTTCAAGTTCTAGATAGGATATGAATCCCTTGCTTGTTTGCAAAAATAACGTCCTTAAGTTTTTAAAATTGATTTAGTGGTATTTTCATTTCGAAAAATAGTCTAATATTAATATTATTAATATTAATATAACCTATTCTCCTTGATGATCATATTCTCATCAAAGGAATTGCCTTGCATTTTTAAAATGTTTTGAAATATATTTGCATTGGATAATGAGTGGTACTTAGTTGCGATAATTGTGAAAATAACTGCTGTTATTAAAATAATTAAGAAATATTTGTGCGACACATTCATAATATCTGCAACATTCCGAAGTAATAGCCTATTGAATTTTGTAGACATTTGCATGGAAAAGATATACGAATTTCATGCAAGAATCGCTTCTATTACGTTAGAATTTTTTATAGAAATTTGAAAAGAGTGGTTATTTCTTAGAAGAAAATTTACGATTAAGTGGCTCACATGTCTATATGAAAATTAGAAGTGACTAATACTTTGCTTCGGAGGATTTCATATTCAGTTTGATAACCTTTTTTCCCCTCCGCTTCGTAATTATTGACCAGTTCAACTGAATTAAGTCCAAGCGGGGATTTTGATATTTGATATTACCTATTCTCCATTCCTTTTTTCTTCTTCCTTATATCTTTAACGGAATTATTAGAACTTTACTACAACTGGTCAAAGATCTCTGACCTAAACACTATTCCTTTCCAGTATTTCCTTGTCTCAGCAGATAAAATTTGTAACACATAAAGGCCAGTAAAAACCACTCATTTTCCATAGGTTTCGAGCATAGCCAATTACAAAATTAATTTCAGAATTTCAGCATTTTATGAATTTGCTGAAGCCTCGTTTGCCTCGTTTTTCTGTCGAAATTTTTGCTCAAACCATATAATCCTGTGAGGTGTGAATAATTTTGACTATTAAAATATTTAATTATAAAATCTACTAAATTACACAAAGAAAAAATGCTTCTCTTTCGGAAGAAAGAAATTAATTCAAATTTCTGGTGGATGAAAATTAAAAATCGAAATATCGACAAGATGCGATCTCTATCTGACCATCTCGATTTTCGCTTAAAGCCATTTTTACAAGAATAAATTTAAAAACCTAAAAATTCATGGAATCGGCCTATAATTTCTAACACAAAATATAGGCAGTACAAAATTGTAACTCTAAATTGTTTTTACAAATTTGATTGAGATACATCACCTTATATTATGAATAGTAAAGAATGATACAATAAATGAATAAATGGAAAAAAAAATCATGGACCATGAATAAATACTGCGAATTTAATTTATGACGAGCCAGCAATTTAGGACCAAAAGAACCAACAGATTCATTTCATTTCTTCCTAATTTCTTTGAAAACACCAACAGTGATTTATTCACTCGAATTTTTGTTGGCCAAATTGCAATCACAAACCAATTGCCTTAAATTTCTCAAATGACCTTCGACCAGCATAACATAAAGCGAATAATTAAATTAATGGACAAGGCATTCTCCATCCAAGTCGCAGACAATGTTCTTAGAATTTATCTTTTCCATTTCGATCATTCTATTCTATCTGTTCTATTTATCAATTTATCAATCTTTATAATCCATTCAGCGACCAATTCAAATTCCAGCTATCTTTCTTTAAATCAAATTCACATTCTGATTATCAATTCATCCATTTTTTAAATTTAATTCTATTGTTTTTCACCCTATTTACATCGTTAGCGGAATCTGCAAACGAAATTTCCTTGAAAAAATCAAAGCGACTGCAAATTCTGATTGGATAAAAACGGTTTAAAAAAAAAATTAATTGATAAAACTCCTAAAACTCGTCTTCTAAGATTATTTATCTCTTCTGGTTTTGATGAATCCACACGTTATTTGGATAAGAATCCTTTCGCCAACGAATTGCTTAACACCACCCGAACTTCGCTTTTAAAGGTAAACTCGATATTCCTCAAAAATTATCGCAGTACATTCTATCACTTTTCGAAAAAAATTTTTCTAAAATTTCTCAAATAAATTAATAACAAAAAAAAAAAATCCAATATTTGATTCAATAAAAAAAATGATTAACTGAAAAAATGATAATTAAATGATGATGACAATTACTGAATGAATCTTGCAATCGTCTTGACGTTAGTCGAAGCCATTCAGCTATACTTTCCGCAAAAAAATAATGCTGGAACTCATCGACCACATTACTATTTATAACAGATAAATAAGATAAATTTTAAAGAAAATGATAATATTAGGAAAAATTGTGTTTAAACTGTTTGTTTTTAAACAACAAAAAATGAATTTTTTTACAAAAAATTTCACCAGTTTGCAATATTTAAGCGTCGTCTGCTAAAAGAATTAAAATTTTTTTATTTTTCTATTTTATTGTCTTGAAACCATCAAAACTTTTATTTCGGAAAAGCTGATAAATATGCTTCAATAAAATATAAAATAATATAAAAAATTTGCATGAAAATTTTGAATTATTAATATCAGTTAATGAATTAAAAGTTAACTAATAAATAAATTTAAAAAAAGATTTAATAAATAAGGATTTGATAAATAAGAATTTTTGTAAAAATTATAAATTTAGAGAAATATTAGATGAGAATCTTGGCATGGATTTTTTGTAGCAAGTAACAACAAAGCAAACGAAGAAAACAAGAAAATATCAATATTATGGTCGCTTAACTAGCTGAATCGAACCTGAAAATTCTCCAAAGGTTTTACTATTGTTAATAGCAAAAATATGCACAATTAAATACTTTCTCTTTTTTCTTCCATTTTTTCTATGCATCAACAACTAAATTATCAGTTTTGATTGATTGATGAATAGAATCATTTTACAGTTTCGTTCAATTCAAATAAAGCTTATTTTGTATGCAATAAGAAAAAAAAATTGCATTGCATATCCAGAAAGGATTATAATGGACTAAGAAGGTCGAGAAGTGGAATAATGGAAGTGGATTGAGAAGGTAAGTAGAAAAAAGAAAAATGTTAGTGCTCAAAGATCCTAGAATGTAAATTTATGCTCTTCTCACCACACATCTTCTTGTGCTCTTCTCACCACACGTCGTCTTTAACAATAAAAAAAGAATTTTCTTATAAAATTTCATTCACTAGTGATGAACCACATTCTTCATTTTATCAGTATGAGTTGCATATTTAATAATAATTATTCGCAACAAAAAGCAAAGATTTGCAAATTATTGTGCAAATCGGTTCTGGCCAACTTGAAAATGCACACGGCTGTAGATCGTTAACTTTGAAATCGCAAATATATGATAGCGGTGGGGCAGTGGAATAGAAATTAAGGGATAAAAAAGAGGAGAATGCAGAATTTGTGATGATGCAAAAGGATAGATATATAACAATAAAAAAGCAGAATGTACGGATCCTATTTTTATGAATTTCATTATTATGCAAGAAATAATGAAAAGAATGGGATAAGGGGAATGAATTGCAAATTATTAATATATATGATATTATTGTAAAATTAATATATGCATTCATCTTCTTTTTCTTTTTCTTTTTCAGTTTTCACCATTATTGGTTAGGCTGGCTCAACTGGTAAAGCTAAGACGTCTCTAAGTCATTCGGCCCGATGCAATCGCTGATAGGAATAGAAACTATTCCTTTTTCCATCGATTAAATCCATATATCGCTGATTCACCTTTCAAAATCTTTCCAGAGTATATATCTACATCGTGATTGGACCACATCGCTTTTGATGCCAATAGCCATAAGGTTTAGCAAGTAATAAAATATATGTCAATCTTGAGGTGGGTGACAAAGAACGTGCTCTAACCATCGAAGACGGCATTATGTGATGCTACTCTGACTTTATGGTGAAATGATCTTTTTGAGACGGTGACGGTAACCTGATACCCATGATACTCGGTGGTGCATGCGATAAGTAAACTATGGTCAGAAGATCTCAAGGCTTAAGAATATGACGTGTTCGCGAGCTACGATAACTGCTCGAAATCTCTCAAGTGAAATGGCTCTCTTCACACGCGGTATTAGCCATAGCAGGATAGAACGCTTATGGACGTCGCAAGCCAAACAATCACTGTTCATACTTTTTCTAAATACCGTGGATATTGCTTACTTACTGAAGGTAAGTATTCCTCACTTCGAATCTCGGGTGCTATTGCTAAAACTGGCTCAAAGCAGAGATATTGGCTAAATCATGTTTCGGATAACTTGGGGCGAAATGACATTGAGATTATGTGAAAAAGCTCGGTCCTATTTGATTGAAAACCGCTTAACTAGTCAGTCAATGTATATGCTCCAACTTTTAAGCGCAGATGACCGCGATGAGGATATGTTCTATGCGAAATTTTTATAAAATATCTCTAGCGAGAAGTGTTATGGTTATAATCGGAGGAGAATGGAATGCACGCGTAGGTTACGATGCCGCCACGATAAACTCTTGGCATCCGATGCGCCAATGGAGAACGCCTTCTTTGCCGAATAGTATGAGTTATTTGTTACTAATCATGCTTCCAGAATTTGAGCAAACATCTAATCACCTATAACTCTCCGGATAACCAACATTCTCTTGACTTCGACCTTCAATGCAGAACCATAGTAAAGAAATACTAAATTACTCAAAAATACTAAATTTTATTCTTCGTTCGTTTAAGAATAAATCTGAAGGTTTTCTTATCAAAATATATAAAGCATTCGTTCGGCATCTTCAATACTACATAATACTTCCTGAGATACCGCAAATCAAGTAAAATATTGAAAGACTGCAGAAATATGCGTCGCCTCTTTTTTTAGTAGTTTTAATTATAAAACAACTGCCTGGATTTCCTTTCAATTTTTCGAATTAAACAAGATTTAATCTGTACTTATAAAATATCTGTATGGTTATGTTAAGTTAGATTATTCAGAATATTACAATTTTAGGCTAAATTTGAACCCAACAAGATCTAATGGGTTAAAATAATTTCTAAAACCTAATATATATAAATATAAACTAAAATAAGGATTCATAATTTCTTTATTTGTATTATTAATTACTGAAATAAATTATAGAACGATGTAAATTGTGCGTCATCCTTAGCTATTTCTAAAAAAAGATTAGATAATATTATTTATGATATCATTTAAAAAGTTCACATTATGCAGAAAGTTTGAAATTTTTTTTGATTTTTCTTCGTTCTTGA